TTTCGATACAGTACCGGTATATACCGTTTATACCGAAAATTTCAATTTCGATACGATACCGGTATATACCGCTTATACTGAAAATTTTGATTTCGGTATATACCGGGTATATACCGATTATACCGAAAATATAATTTTAAATTTCAAAATAATTAAAAAAATTAATAAATATCACTATTCTTCACCACAAAAATATTATGAAAAAACCAGCAAATTTTCAATAGTTTACATATTTTTTTGTTATAATTTTAAAACATATTAATAATTATTATTTATATTAATAATTAAATTATTTAATAAAAATAATATCGGTACGTTATCATACCGAAATACCGAACTTTCCGAAAATTCATACCGATATCGTACCGAAAACTTCGGTATAATATCCATACCGTACCAAAATTTTCGATATACTTTCGATACGATACGGTACGATAAGTCGGTATTTCGGTATCTTTGGTGAATTTATCCATCCCTAGTCCCGGCGGAAGTTGTCCCCATCAAATACATGAACGATTTTAAACCTTAATATTTTACCAACGGATTCAGTAAATTCTCAAAATTATACTCCCTCCGTCCCATAAATATAGTCTTAATTGGGTTGGATACGAGATTTAAGGAATATTAATATTATATTAGTAGTGGGTAAAAAGTATGGATAAAAGACTTTTTTTGTCATTGTGAGTGTATTAGCGTAAAAAGTAGTGGCAATTGTGTAATAAAAATAAAAAATATGGATAGTTTTATGGTGATATGATTATTTATGAAAATAAGACTATTGTTTTGGTACAGACAAAAATGATAAATAAGACTATTGTATTAGAACAGAGGGAGTATTAATTTTAATTTTTTTTTACAGGGATCCGGTGTAAAAATTACTAATGTCAAATATCAAGACATACATGGCGCCTCGGCAACACAAGTTGCCATGAAATTCGACTGCAATAACATAAATCTTTGCACGGGAGTAACAATTAGACGGTGTGGATCTTTATGACACACATCAAATTTAATACTACATTGTCTACTGTAATATTAAAAATTATTGGTTAATATTTACTATAAATAAATTACGCATAAATTTAACAGACAAAAGATTAACCTGACGGTAATTACAATGGATGAAAGTGATTATTATTTTTTTTGTATATATATATTATGAAATTTTAAAATAATCGATATTATGCACTCTCATTCAAACCTACATCCAAATATTTTAGCATATATGTAAAAAATAGAAAAAATAGATATTAATTTAATATATCTAAAAAAAATTATTAATGTTAAAAATCAAATCCAATATATATAAAACAAATAAATGAAACCGGGGTGTGGTGTGAATATTCGGTTGAGGGTAAAAATTTCTTACTGTATACCTAATGGCTGTAATAAATACTAATTATACTGAAATTACTATTTCACCAGCCTATTAAATATTTAAACTTCCGATGGTTAATTAATATATGTAATTAATTGTTCCAATTATTATCCGCCCTCAATTAATATTTAGTAACCCCTTCGCAATTGCAACCAAATTAATTAATCCTTAAATTAATATATTTCTTACGTCCCAATACAATAGTCTTATTTATTATTTTTGTCGATCCCAAAACAGTAGTCTCATTTATATAAATAATCATATCATCATAAAATTATTCATACTTTTTCATTATTATTACACAATTGTCACTACTTTTTACACTAATATACTCACAAGGGCAAAAAAGTTATTTATCTTTAATTTTTACCAATTACCAATATAATATCAATATTTCTTAAATATACATATCTCTATTGTGGGGCCTACCATCTGTATTACATTTATTATTAGTTGACTTTGACCCTTCTAGAAGAATATATATATATATATACTTTTTTATCCTACTCACCGAATTACTATATTTTCTTATTACAGTAATACTTTCTCGTCCGCAAAAATTAAAATATTTGAGTTCAGCAAAGAGATTAAAAAAAATGATTATTTTGTTGAAAAAATGATAAAAGTAAAAAAATACTTGAGAGTATTTTTGAAAAGTAAGTTAGAAATTAAAAAAATAATGAGAGAAAATGTAATAAAGACGGTGATATTTGTTGTAAATAAGTGTTGAATGGAGCATAATAATTAAACGTCGATTTGTTGACTTTGCTAAAATTAGTAAAAAAAAAAATTTAACGAACAGACTAAAAAAAAAATTAAAGTAAATTTGACGGACGGAGATACTAATTAATAACTAATACTTATAATTAAAAACTTAACTATATTCTATTAACTTACTAATATATTTAGTTTTACAATATGTTTAGTTGAATAATAAAAATATAATAAATATTTAATATGATATAAATTAGTATTCATCTAATTTTAATTTTCTTACAATTAATTTTTAATCTAATATATAAAAGTTGATGTTTGATTTGAAAATTTATAGCTAAAAAATTAATTAAAAATGAGATTTGATTTTATAATTTTATTCTTTATTCAAAAAAATAAAAAAAAAAACTTATTTATCATGCAAAAATTATATATATTTTTTAATTTCGATATTTCAACGTAAAATATTATATTATAATACCGTGTATACAATTCAGTTAAAGATGATTTGAGAAAGTATATTGAAAATATCGAACTATATTGTATACCGTACCAAATTTTTTAGTTTATTAAAAAAATATCGATAATGTATCGAATATTTGGTATATACAAAAATATCGAATTCTTTTTATTATCTATATATACTGAAAATATATGGTATATCGTTATTATACAAAAAAAAAAACATATCGTACAAAAAAAAATTTCGATATTTTTTTGTATGAGTATGCATGTTATTTCCATGATTCAACATTTTTTATTCGTAAATTCGGTATATCAAAATATATGTATCGCATTGGTACGGTAAAATATTATACCAAAATTTTTGATACGGCTATATACAATGTGACATTAAATTTGATGTGTCATAATGAATTATTTCTAACAACAATCAAATTCAAAATTTTTATGTACTTTTTATATAAATTTTTTTATTATTACATTTTTTCTTGTATTAATTATATTTAAATCATTTAAATTATTATTTTTATCTAATTGCATATATTGATTTACAGTAGATACAATTATTATTATTATTTTTAAATAATTTTACTAAATAAAGAATTCAATATTTAAAATTTAAAATTTAAAATAGTTAAACCTTTAATTTAACATTTTATCAAATAAAAATATTTAAAATAAGCTTTGTTACATCAATTAATCTAACTAATTAACTACATAACATAATATTTTTTAAATTGTGTGTTAGAAAGAAAGTGGACTAATTCCACAGGACGAAAAGGAGTATATTATATTCTTCAGTCTCAAATTAAGGAGGTCGTTTGTAATTTTGTAGTAGATTAAAAAGTAAAAAATATTTTATTAGTTAGTAAAAGTGTGTAAAAAATAGTTTTTGATATTTTTGCCTCTAATTTAATGTATAAAATAATTGTACGTGTAAATGATATATTTATAATTTAAGTAAAAATTAAGAGTATTTTTGTATTAATATCTGATTATTTTTTCTAAAATAGAAAAATGATTTTTAAAGTGAGAAGTACGAAAATAATAAAAATAATACTTTAACTGTAACGGATGTATATTTTTATTTTGCTTTTGACATTAAATAGTAGTTTTATAATACTATTAAAATTTATGTTAAAACTTGTATGATTATTATTATTATTTTTAAAAAGAGAACATAACAAAATTGGAACAATTCTCAACACCACTTTGACATTAAAAAATGAGAATGGATTATGGGGTTAATAAATATGTATTACATGGTTAATATTTCCACAATTAATTAATTAATAAAATCTTAATTCAATAATAATATTAATAATAATATATACAATTTAAAATAATTGTGTTAAAACATAAGATAGTTAGAAATATTTAAAATCCTACCTTCTAAATCTAATTTTCAATACCTATATTTTATTTTTAAAATAATAAAGACTCCATTTTGACAAAATTTCTAGAAGTTTAAATTTGAAGATGTTGAAAAAATTAAAATTAATAAAAATGGGTTTGTTTGGTTTGTTTTTATTCAACTAAACAATTCCCCATAAAGATTACTTTCTTATTCCCACCCAACTTGTCCATATTTTCTATTTCTGTCATATCTAATTTGTCATTTTTTTAAAAAAAATATAATTATATACTTTAATTACATTTTAAATTTTAAATAAAATATTTAATTATCTTAGTATTAATATATAATTGTTTTTACTAATATATTTTTTTAATTACTTACTAATCATATTTTACTTAAATTCTTGTATCTACGCTAATAACCCAAATTATCTAAGACAAATGGAGTATTAAAAGATATATTAGTGTGTGTATGTTTGGGGGATTTTACTTAAAATTCACTATTCATCCAATTTTTTTCCTAAAAAAATATCAAATCAAATACCTATTTTTTATTTTCTATATTATATTAAAATTTAATTTTACATTCAAAACATTACATCAACTTCTATTTATATCACATATTCCAACTATTATAATTCAAGATTTTTTTACTATTCAAATCTCAATTCAAAATCTAAACTCCCGAACAAATACACCATAGATAAACATATTAACACAATAATATTTATAACATATACATTTTATTCATTCACAATAAATCAAGAATTAAATACAAAATATTATTTTATAATCACCTAATAATTTTTAATAATTTTTTTTATAATATTAAATCATCACGACAAAAAAAATAAAATAATAATAATAATAATAATAAATAAATTACATATATATATTTTTTAATTTTTTATCATTTAATAAATTTTATTACGTTAATAATAATATACGTTGAAAATCGACATTGTTGTCCAATATCTAAATCATCTATCTATAAATAATACCATCCGAATCGTCACCGTCACCGTCACCGTCACCGTCACCATCAACGTACATTCCATTCCATTCCTCTGCAACATTTTTCCTTCCATCAATGGCGGCCACCACATCCGTACAGTCCCTAACCCTCATCGTAATAATCCTTTTCTACTCTCCGCCACCAACCTCCGCCGCCAAACCCCATCCCTCCTTCAACGTCCAGTCATACGGCGCCAAGCCCGACGGCAAATCCGACTCCTCCAAGGCATTCTTGGCCGCCTGGTCCGCCGCCTGCGCCGCCGCGCCGGCGACCGTCTACGTGCCGCCGGGGAAATACGCCATCTCCACCGCAGCCTTTTCAGGAAATCAGTGCAAGAAATCTGGAATCACGATACAGATCGACGGCACTTTGGTCGCGCCGTCGGACTACGGCGTAGCCGCCAAGGCCGGCGAGTGGCTCCGGTTCGATAGAGTCGCCGGAGTCACCATCCGCGGCGGAACCCTAGATGGCCAAGGCGCCGGTTTCTGGGCTTGCAGGAAGTCCGGCAAGAGCTGCCCTAAAGGCGCCACCGTAAGATCATATTATATTTAATTAAATACATTAATAAATTATTTATAATTAAATAATTTTAATTTTTTTTTTTCTTTGTTAGTCTTTGGGTGTGTATAATTCGAACAAAGTAGTGATAAGTGGATTGAAGTCGATGAATAGCCAAATGTTCCATATTTCGATATTTGGATCTTACGGTGTTAAGGTTGTTGGCGCAAACATCATGGCGCCGGGGGATAGCCCGAACACCGACGGCATCCATATCGAGCAATCTTCGGACATCACAATAAAAAATTCCAATATTGGCACCGGCGACGATTGCATTTCTATTGGTCCCGGCACCTCCAATTTATGGATAGAAACAATTAATTGTGGCCCTGGCCACGGCGTAAGGTAATTATTATATATAATTTTTATTTAAAATATTATCTAAATACAAAATTTGAATCAAATTTTCTTAAATCAGACTCGAAATTCCAAGAATTACAAAATTTTTACATAGAATTTTCAAATTATTCTTATATATATGTTTGTCTTTATAGTATTGGAAGTCTAGGCCGCGACGCCCAAGAACCCGGAGTCCATAATGTGACACTAAGGACCGCGACCTTCACGGGAACTGAAAACGGCGTGAGGATTAAGACATGGTCGAGGCCAAGCAACGGATTCGTTAAGGATGTCCTATTCCAACATGTTACGATAAAAAATGCTAACAATCCAATCATCATCGACCAAAACTACTGTCCCAGCGGAAGTTGTCCCCATCAAGTAAGTTAATGATTTTAAACTTTAATATTTTACCAATGGATTCAGTAAATTTTTAAAATTATATAATTTATTTTTTACAGGGATCCGGTGTAAAAATTACCAATGTCAAATATCAAGACATACACGGCGCCTCAGCAACACAAGTTGCCATGAAATTTGACTGCAGCAACATAAATCCTTGCACGGGAATAACATTAGACGGTGTGGATCTTACTTACCTTGGAAAACCGGCTATGGCAAGTTGTTCCCATGCTGTTGGAAAGTCGAGCGGTGTTGTCCACCCGGCGGGATGCTTTGATTAGACGTAAATTTAAATTGAAAATTGGAGTGAAGCCTGCGGCTTAATTAAATTTTTAAATTTTTTTGTTGGAGCCCGGCTAAAAATTCATTTCTTTACTGGCACAATTATTTTATACAATTGTTTGGAAGGAAAGTCTTGTTTCACTCTTGATCTAGTTGTCTATTTTATTTTTATTTTATTATTTTTTATAGTAAAATTATTATATTTAATATATAATTTTTGTTTAAAATACTATGTTAAAAATATATATTTGTATCTGAAAAAACTCAAATCCAACTTCATCTAAGGCATGACAAAATTATTTATGATGAATGTTGATTTATAGTTTGATGTATATATATATATATATTTACGTGAGTTATAAAATAAAAAATAATATTTTATATTAAATGTTGATTTTTTGTAAAATAATAAAATTTAATATATTTTATACATTGAAAATTGCAAAAAAAAAAATAATGGAAGAACACATCCACTATTTTGGTTTTATTTTTTACAAATAGAGTACAAACTATATTTTGATGGAATTAATAATTAAATATGTATACAAACAAAAATTGACGGTTTTGACAAAAAAAAATTTACTATTTGTTATGTACAAGCATATGTATATATATATATATTACAAGAAAGCTTTTTTATTTTTTAGGAAAAATGCAAATCTATCATATATTAATTCGATAGAGTGTTTTTTTGCAGTAAAATATATATGAAAATTTTAAAAGTGCTTTTATTAGCAAATTTGTAATCTATAGATCTAATCTCTTGGAGTGTAGAATCTCCTTTCAAGATTAATAAGTAGTGTAAGCTTTTAAATAAAATAATAGTTGGGTCATTATTATTAGAGTAAACTGTTTTTTTATTCGTAACTGGACCCTCTTATCATTTTAGTCCCGTAAGTGGAGCATGTCGCAAACTAGACCCATAAGTGAAAAATTTTCGCTGTTTTAGTCATCCGGCACCGGAGACGCCCTCGTGACTCGCCGGAGGTGACATGTCCGCCAGGTGTCGCTGACCTGGCGGACACGTGGATTTTTTTTAATTTTTTTAAAACTTATTTTTAATTTATTTTTAATTTTATTTGTATTTTTTTATTTGATCCAATTAGAAAAAATAAAAAAAATCCATGTGTCCGCCAGGTGTCGCTGACCTGGTGGGACACCTGGCGGACACGTCATCTCCGGCGAGCCACGCATGCAACTCCGGCGTCGGAGGACTAAAACAGCGAAAAATTTTCACTTATGGGACTAGTTTGTGACATGCTTCACTTACGAGACTATAATGATAAAAAGGTCCAGTTACGGGACTAAAAAAACCATTTTACCCTTATTATTATTATTAATTATAATAATAATGATAATTGCTTGAAAGGTGGATCAAGAACATTTGCAAAAATTTTATAAGAAATATTTTAATCCAAGTATAATAATGACTTAAATTCCACAATATTTTTCAAATTTGTTGCATGTTAAATTGAGTTGACTTTCTAATATTGTACTCCCTTCGAATTTTGATACTTAATTGGGTAAAATCAATATATACATATATATATATATACATATAATAGGCCGTACATATAGCATTATATGAAAAATATAATGTATAATATATATTTGGATGATGCGGGAATTCGCAGTCGTTACCGAAAATGCGCACTGAAACTTAATATCCTGCAAATCAGGCCCACCCGACGGAAACCCCTACACCACCAAACCATCCCTTACGGGACAAAAATTGACCTATTATTATTTATTATTAAGCTAAATTGTATAATACACATCTAATGATTTATTTATTACATGAAATTCATTTGTGTTAAATAAAAATATATCCAAAATATTATATTTGTCCAAAATTGATATTTGGTTGAAAGTACTACCTAATTATACAATTATTATAAAAAAAATAAAAAATATATATCTTAAATAGTCTTATTTGACTAAAATAAATATATAAATAATTGTTCAATAAAAAACTAATTGAATGATTGATAAATATTTATTTATTTATTTTATTGAAAATACTATTTAAAATATTTGATAATGATTATTTGAATGTAATATATAAATTATTTAAAATATATATTTCTTTTCTTATTTATTCTTTATGTTTTTCAATAAAAATTATTTTCTTTCAAAATATTATATCAATAATAATTTAAATTAAAGTTCAAGTGTCAATATAAATTAGATAAAAATTTGTCACTAAAAAGTTGTTAAATGAATAGTTGATAAAATATTTATTTATTTTACTAAAAAATACTATTTAAATTATTTTATTATTTTTGTTTGGATGTAATATATATAAAAATTTGTAAAATAAATATTTCTTCTCATAAGGTCTTTATGTTTTTCTAAAAAAGAAATACTTTATCTCTTCAAATATTATATCAAATAATTATTTAAATTAATTTCAAACACCAAAAAGAACAAACTTAGTTTTTTTTTTTTTTTTTTATTGTTTTAACAGTGAATTTAATTTGATATTTTGTTGAGAATAAATGATATATTTTTTTTTATGAAATACTATGAATCAAATAAAAAAATAAATAAATCTGAAACTAAATACAACTATACTTGTTAGACATATATAATAATATCTTAGAAATATTTATGTTACCGAGCTAATTTACCCCAGTAACATATGAAAATATAACAAATTATACATATAAATAAAATAGACAACAAATATTGTATAGCGTGTCAACATATATTGTCATTTTTATTTTCAATATATGTAGTGTGTTAATTGTTGAAAAGATCATAGCAAAATAGACGGAACATAACATAAGAGGTAAGAAAAACAAATTGAATTAAGAAAATTAGATATACAGTAACAATTTAATTCTTTCTTCCATCACTTTGTTTGATTATTCAACTAATATTTCCTGATTTGATGGCACATGTATTTAAGCATTTGAATAATTTTCAATACAAAGAGTGTGATAAATAAGCGCACTCTAAAATTTTCAAATTTTGCTTTTGTCAATGCTTTGGTGAACAGGTATGCTAACTGATTATCAAATTTGCATAATTTTTGCCATAATTTTTTATTTTACAATGAACTCTCAGATATAGTGGTACTTGATTTTTACGTGTTTTGGTCAATGCAGACATATCACAAAATATAATTGTAGCTTGTGACTATTTTTTATAATCATTAAGAAGCTTGTTTAACCATACTTAGTTTCTCATTTGCATTTATCGGAGTTTTTATAGTATTTCATTTTAGGATGCCAAATTTTTGTAAAAGATCATTCGTCTACTTATGTTTTGAGAAAAATATGTCATCCTTAGTTTGAGTTATCTCCAACCCAAGAAAGTAATGGATATCTTCCAAATATGTCATCTCAAATATATGCATAAGTTGACCAACATCACATGAGGTGCATCTTTCTTCTTTATGTTTAAGGTTGGTTCATTTTTATTTTTCTAGAATCCATGTTGATGGAAAATTCCATCAATCTCTTTTTACCAAACCTGCGGGACTTGTTTTAAGACATACAATGCATTCTTTAACTTATACATTTTACTTACTTTTTTAAGAATTACGAACGACCCTTCTAGTTTCTATACATACATTTTATCTTGTAGTTCTTCATTAGAAAATATAAACTTAATATTAAAGTTAACACTGAAAATGAGCAGAAATTATCAATATTATCGTCACCAAAGTTAACACTTTTGTCAATGTGAAATCGATATTTAGGAATTAAGTCACGAGCACTCCTACATAGGTGTTGTTGTGGAGATTTTGCCATCACTTTGACCATTATCTTTTTGTGGAGTTGGAGCAGCACTGCTACGACTTATTGTTGGATCAGAACTTGTCATACCATGATTAACTTAATTATTGTCATTCTCATAAGAAATTGTATTTTATATGAGAGTTCTTATCGCACAAATTTTTCTTAAAGTTTATTTTTCATCAAATTGAACATCTCGACCGATCACTATTTTCCTTTTTATGGATCAAATAATATGTACGCATTTGACTTTGAGTAGTAGCCAACAAGAATATATTTGTTTATTTTTGCCTTAAGTTTGTGACGGAAAACTTCAAAATGAGTCTTATTCCATACTAATTTTATAGAAAAGATTTTGATAAATTAATCTAAAGCAATAAAAGTTTCACCCCAAAATTTTTTCAGAAATGTCTTTGTATTAATAATGCAATGAGCCATTTGTATGACAGTTCTATATTTGTGTTCAATTATGAAATTTTTTTTTGGAGTGTAAAGAGCTGTAAGTTCCCTTGTGATTTCACGTGTTTCAAAAAAAATTATTGAATTATGTGTTGCAAAACTCTCATCCCTAATTAGTACTTAACACTTTCAACTTTGGATTGTTTTAATTTAATATAAGGGCTTTAAACATTTTGAAACATTTAAATGACTCAAACTTGCAGGTGAAAAAATATACTCACCACATCCTTGTTAAGCCATCAATAAAAAATATAAAATATTTACTACAAACATACAATTTTGTTTGCATTGTACCAAAACTATCAGCATGGGATATTACAAATTTCTCTTCTACTCTTTTTTATTTTTCAACAATGAATAGTTGTTTTGTCTGCTTCTCTAAAGCACATCCATAACATACATGGGATAACTCCTTGGTAATAAAAAGACATTTTCTCATTCTTTTGTTTGCAAATAATTGTAATTCTTTAATATTGAGATGACAATACCACTGATTTCATATATCAAAATCTTCAACTTTGTTGGACTTTCCATAAATTGTTGTGTATGAGAAATGTACATGAACATCTTGTTTCGACTCATTTGGCCTCTAGCAGCACCCTAAATGTTTTTCTCTTAACAAAAAATTATTTTTTTTTAAACATCACACAATATCTAGAATCAACTAATTGTCCTACAGTTATCAAGTTATGGGCTAAACCTAATGCGTAATGAAGATTTTGAATGAGTTTTTATTTGATCACCAATTTGTTTGGCATCTCCTAATTTGACTTGTAATTTGTGTATTTCATCTAATTCTTTAAACCTTTCCTTATTTCTTGTCAGGTAATTATAGCAAACACTGTCAAGATATCAAATTTCATCAATGATAATTT